AACAACTATACCACTGACCATTCTATTGAAAAGTGAGCCACACTACTTACATTCAAAAAGTAAGATAGAAACAAAAAATAAGGCGAAATATACAATCCCCGAAATAATTATAGCCGTACTTTCATTTTTTCAATTTTCTTAAAAACAAACGCAAATATTGTCGCAGTTTTATTATATTATTTTACTAAGAACCATTGTGTTCAATCGAAAATTCGTGAAAATATTTTGAATTTTTTCAAAAACTTCCACTAAAAATGGTCATTTCGGGACTTTTTCTGAGGTTATGTCGGCCATTTTGCTTATTTTTACCAAAATGCTAAGAATTTTTGCCGATATTTTGCATAATATGTTGTATTTAGTTCCATATGTATTTGACTTTTTTCGTCTTGCAGTTGAAATTCTTTGATTACTCATTCTTATTTGACATTCAATCGTTTCTGCTCAGTGGTTAAATTGTGAAACCACGAAGATAGAAATAAATTGCGGCGCTGAAGAATGTCTTGACACAAATTTTCTATGAGATTATAAGCGTGTGATTTTTTCGCAAAATACAGGTCAACCCAATTTTTATCATCGCATAATACGCTTTACAGCTTGACATTTGGAATCGCCTTGATTATATAAATTTGTAAACAAAATCCTCACAAGATGAAATGAAACTTAAACGGCATACATATTTATTATTATTAACTCGCATTATCATGCATTGGTTCCTAAAGTAACCAGATCGGGCAAATGCTATAGCTACAAAACCACTGAATATTTTAGCATACTTCGTTGAAAACAAATGTAGGGAATTGAACCATCTTTCATTTGATACCTTACTCGTTATAATTTTCCAACATAACCGAAAGTTTTTTGTGATTATGTACTGCAATTTAAAAAATGCGAAATTATAGCAGAATCCCAAATTTTGTGGGTTTTTACATTCTTTTCAATTGTCAAATCTTAGCTCATAGTCAAACAAATTAATTTTCAAAGAAAATTAATTCGATAGAATACTGTATTAGTTATTAAAATAATAAAACGCGTGAGTATATACCAAAATCATTCAAAAATTAAAAAAATGGCGCATTAAATGGTTAAGTTCAATATATGAACATGGAACTAATCTTTATTTTAATTGAACCGCATGAGCAAATCTTAGGATTTGTGTTAGTACAAAACATCACAGTTGTTTGACAAAAATTGAATTATTTCAATTATTTTAACACAAATTACAAAAGTTATCACCATCCAACGACCAGTAAT